AAATAAAATCTTTCTTTAAAAAAGAAATTTTTGATAAAATTGGTGATAGACACTGGTATAAGTGAGGGATGAGTTGCTCAGTTTCAGTGAGCAGGTGTAGAGCTCAGCTGAAAGCCCATCGAATATGGAGTCAGTGATAAAGATAAACAAAGAAAAGGAATGAAAAAGGAAAAGATGGGTAGAGATTCATTCCAATTACTCTGTCTATCAATATTTATTGGGCACTATCTGTCTCAGTACATACTAGAGGACACACTGGTTTGATTCAATGTGATAAAATGTAGAGGAAAGAGCAAAGGGGCATCAGAAACTGAAAAAATTTAGAAGAAACAGGACTGAAGAAGGCTCTCTGTAGGATATGTGTAAGGGCCTGGCCTTCTCTCTGAAGCATCTGTGTGAGTGATTTGTGGTATGTGTTAGGGAAAAGGATTACAGAAAGTTTCACACTAGAGAGACCTGGAGAGAATTTGACTCTGTTGCCAAGTTTTCAGAGTCAAAGAGGGCAAAGCTAATGTTTTCTACTGATGCAGATCATCAAATGTCATCCAGAAATGGAGAGCAGCTTTGATTAAAAAAAAAAAGAAAAAGAGAAAGAAAGAAAGAAAGAAAGAAAGAAAGAAAGAAAGAAAGAGGAAAAAAGAAAGAAAAAGAACAAACTAACAATTATATAAAAATTAGCTCCCTGAGGGTGAATTTCTGGAAAGTGGTAAGGTTTAGAAAACCTGATAGAAAATATAAACAAAACAAATTATCTTGGGCTTGGGGGATGTGGATGGTGGAGATGGGTGCTGTGTATTCAGCTAGTAGTTGAACCAGAACTCTTTGTCCAGTGAATCACTGTTTTCTCCATCAAAGATGAACTGTCAGCCAGACCTACAAAGGGTTCAAGGAGCCCAACGGTCGCAAGAAGAAATGTGCCCACTATTCCTTCTTTGTCTCAAAGTCTCTCTTCTACTGTTGTCTACAGGGTTGCATTTCCTTGTCTGTGGGGCAGGGTGCAGCTGGGGCCTGGACACTGGAATCAGAAGAGACATTCCGGACTCCCACACAGCCATGTTCCTTCCCCTTCTTTTGGTATCAGAACTCTAGGGGACCAAATCCCAGGCTGGCATTTCTGGCCTTGCCTAAAACTCTCTGTGCTGTTCTAAAAAATAATATCACTGTTATGGTAAGTGATATAAGTCAAGCCAGGAACATGCAGCCCAAGAAGTACATTTTATGTTTTGATTTCTTCTTTTCTCTTGGCAAAAGCTTGTTGTTCCCATCCCTGCTAGGGCAGAACGGAAGTCCACTTGGTGTGGAATGGGGAGGGGACCATCCTGCTTGACTGCATTTTAGCCTGGTGCCTGTTCCAGATACCCTGCTGGTTACAGAGAAGCCACTGTGGGAAAACAGTGTGGGTAAGCCTGGGCTTGCACAAAGGAGGTGCTCCAGCCCCCACACTGGCTCCCATGAGATTTTTAGCCAGGGCCAGATCTCCTTAGTGACCTGGATTATAGATTTGATGAGACCTCACTGGATCACACAGTACATAGAGTCTTGAGGTAGGGGTGAGTCTAAACTGAGGGAACAGTTTTTGCCTAGTAGAGGTTACATGTATTATTGAACAGGTTATGAAACAGGTTATGGGACCAGCCTTCTTCCAACCATCCAGGCTGGAAAAATTAGAGTCATTAAAAAATTTCTCCCCATCCTTTATGCCCTAGATAGAAGCAGTCTCCAAATCCCAACCAAGGATCCCAATGGTCCCTAGAAGAAATGTGCCCACTGTTCCTTCTTTGTCTGAAAGTCTCCTTCTACTCTTGTCTACAGGGTTGCATTTCTTTGTCTGTGGGGCAGGGTGTGCTTGGGGTCTGGAGGCTGGAATCAGGTTACATGTATTTCTTTAAGACCAATCCCTCCCAGTGATTCCTACTTTTCCTTTCCATGCCCTGCCATCTCCATGACTCAGCTCATGGGCTGGGAGGCAGCTGGAGGAAGCTGAGTATGGACTCTGGAGAAAGACATTTGGGATGTGCATTTTGGCTCTGTCATGTGACTTGGACAAACTAAACTCTCTGCCCCTCAAGTTATTCTTAGAAAATGGAGTTGATAACACTCCTTACTTTGCAGGAATGTGAGGTTTAAATGAAATGCATTTATAAAAATGCAGGTGACTAAACAGTGTAGTCCTGATTGTTCTTTTAGATGCGGCAGTTAGTAGACAAATGTTTATAAGGATATGCACCAAAATGTTAATGGTGTTAACATTATTAACATTAACATTTATATTGGGGTGGTGGGATTTATGGTTTTTTTTTTTTAACTTGCATGTTTGTGCTTTCCTATATTTTTAAAATCTCCACAGCGAAAACATATTACTTGTGTACTAAAAATCATACATATGAATTAAAATTCCACCAAACCTTTAAGACCCAGCTGAGATGATACTCGTTTTATTAAAACTTTCCAGATGTTCCTGTTGACAGAGATCCCTTTCTGAGCAAGTTACTGAATCACTTTGAGAGGGAGATGCTCATCTGCAAAATGAGATGTAATAAACGTCAAATGGAAATTATATATACACTATTAAGTATTGAGAATATGCATCTTATAAATATACTCACACATACACACTATTCTCTCTCCCTCCTTCTCTCTCTGGGATTTAGAGATGCCTGAGCACTAGAAAGTGCTTAATAAATGCAATTTTCTTTTTCTGAATACCAGAAACACTTTGTACCCCTCTTATAGCACTTACTGTATTTTGCTTTGTATTATGGTTGTTTGTGAACTTCCTATATCTGCTACTAGATTATAAACCCAGTGAAGGCAACAGCTACTGTGTTCTATTCATTTTTGACCACACAGGGTTTAATGTCTCTTTCATAGTAGCTGCTAAATATCCTCGTCGAATGACTGAATGCCTAGGTAAAGGAAGAGGTCCTAGAAGTTTAAAGAACATGCCCCTTTAGGGTTTCAGTTTTGCACTGTCTGATGCTGGGCCTGCCAGTGTAGTTGTTCAACAAATGTTTGTTGATTGGGTGGGCACATGCAGCGGCAAGGACACAGTGTTCTTGTGAGGGAAGCCGGAGCCCAGGTGAGTATGCCTGGCCCACTGATGGTGCCGCAGGTGTCTGTGAGGAGGTTGGTTCTTTGAAGCGGATGGAGTTTGAAACTCAGACAGCTGTCCAGGGCCAATCCCTCCCACTGCAGGACCTGCTTCTGATTGCTAAGGACAAGGGAGAGGGGACTGCAGCTGAAAGAAATAATGAAGGACATGAAGTTGAAAGAGGGCTGGGAGGAAAGTCTTAAGAGACCGAGGAGGAGCAGACAGTTCTGCTTTTGTAACAGGTTGTGGGGAGCAATTGTCCTCAGGTTAGACTGCAGCATCACTGACATCCACCCCCTGTTGTTGACTTTGGCCCAGAAGGACTTCACCAGGTATTCACGAGCAGAGCCAAGACACCTTCATGGAGCTTTACAAACTTAGGGCAGAAGAGAAAGAAAATAAAGGGGCCCCATAGTAGCTGAGAGGGCCGGGGAATATGGCAGTAAGCAAGCACTTTCTAAGAACTTCCATAACGAGTTATGTGGGACTTTTCATTATAAATGGAGATTTTGACAGGTTAAATAGAAGTGGGCAGAGCCTGAGTAATGCTGGTTATCCTATTACTATGTGCTCTTTTCCCCTTGGCTAATGCAAGCCAAGAAACAAATTATATATATATATATATATATATATATATGTATATATATATAATATATTATTATGTGCATTCATGGAGTGAAGAGATAGTCTGAAAGAGAAAAGAAGAAATGCAGAAAGGAAAATGACTCATTAACAGAACAGTTGTGCCAGCTGAGACACAAGACAAAATGGAGTGAAGCCCTAGATCTCACTGTAGTATACCTGGCCACTTATAGCTCAGGAAAACATGGTGGGACAAAACCTCACTATGCTAGGCCAATCAGTGGGCTCCCAGGAGTAGGTGAGACCCCATGTGATGTCAGTGAGGGCAGGACTATGAAGAGGCAGGACTTCGAATGTTCACTGCTATTTTCTCGAACATCCTTTGCCAAAAGTTGTGAATATCAATGCCTATCTATTCTCTGGGATATTTGTCTTGGGAAGGAAATATCATATGGGGCTGGTATCTGTATGTATATATACACGTGTGCATGTATATTTATGTACATAGGTAGACCAAGAGCAAATAAAAAATCTTTTAAAATACCTGTTCTGTATATGAAAAAATATTGATGATATACTTGGTAAGACCAGAGAAGAACTAAAAAAAAGAAGAACTAAAGCAATTAAATTTTTGAATAGGACTTCAAGATAGCAATGAAGGAGGTGTTACAGAAGACATAGACAAAAAATATTTTTTGAGAACTTTCCAGATTTCATCACTGGTTCACATATATCATTTCTTCTGATTCTGTGAGAACACTGTGAAGTGGGTAGAGTATCATAGTCCCATCTTATAGATTGGCAAACACATTGGGAGGGTAAAGGGATTGTTGAGAGTAAGTGGCAGGTGGAGAACTATACCTAGGTTTGTAGACTCAAAATCTCTTGCTCTTGTGCTATTGCACTAATAAGCAGTGACATTTTCTACCTTATCTCTCATTGTATCTTTTTTATATAAAACATTTTATATCTTATATACATTATATATCTCAGATATCACCATTCTATCAAAAAATCTGGGTGTTATTATGATAGAAATAGAAAGTCCACTTTTCCTGAGAATGGCATTTATTGATGCATAGCCTGTTTCTCTGTGATTTCCAATAAAGCTTATGGACATAAAGTTTTTCAAGAATATTACTGGGAATAAATTTAAGGTGATATTTTAGTTGTTATTCTGAACACCCTGTGTCCACTTTGACTTTGTGTCCCACTGATGACACCTACCACTTCCCTTGGAAGTTTAGAAGACACCTGACTCCCTGGTGTAGAGGCGGGGGGCACTTCTGGAAGGTGGTGGAAGAAAACTTTTTAAAAAGCTTGGGTGGTGCTCGCTTTGACAGCACATTTACTAAAATTGGAATGATGCAGAGAAGATTAGTGTGGCCCCTGCACGAGGATGACACGTAAATTTGTGAAGCATTCCATATTAAAAAGAAAAAAAAAGGAAAAGAAAGCTTGGGTGGCTGTGCTGGGCATGGAGATGCAAGGGAGGATTTGTTGCCTTCGGTTCTGGGAGTGATGTCAATAGACAGCCTCCAGCCCTTAGCCCCTTTGGGAGTTGCCTCACCCGCGGGCATGCATTCCAGGGGATTGCCCACTTCCAATGACCGATCAAGGCAGAGGGTAAAAGTGCAGCTATTTGGGCCCATTCAGGCCAGCTCTAAGGGGTTATTTGCTCCAGCATTCCCTGTGGAGTTGGCTGAGGCTGCTGGACCTGCATCGCAGCCGGTCTTTTCCCTGTGCCCACTCCTGCTTCCTTTTTCTCCTTTCCAGAGATGTGGATCCCAGAGGCATTCCCTGTTTACCATCCTGAATCCTAAACTCTTTCTCAGAGTCTACATCTTGGAGAACTTGAACTGTAACAATTCAATTTATCTGTACTTTCTTTTGGAGCAGGGGTAGGTAATTTTCTATAAAGGGTCAGATAGTAAATATTTCAGCCCTTGCAGTCCAACCCTGGCTTTGTAGTGTGAAAACAGCCATAGATAATACGTGGATAAATGAGCATGGCTGTGTTCCAATAAAACTTTATTTACAAAAAGAAGCACTTGGCTGGATTTGGCCTGTGGATGTAGTTTGCCAGAGAATTACTGATTACTGAGAATTACTGATTCATTTCAGATGATTGGAGAATTCTGGCAAATTCCTGATGAATTTCTTCATGCCCAATATTGCCTAAGTTACAGAGCAGCTCATTATTGTGCATAGTGAGTGCTGAATGCAGGATAAAGCAGTAAGATATACTCAACAGAGCTAACAGCCCACAAATACAGTTTCAACATAAGACAGATTTATGATCTAATGCTAGAAGGTACTTTTAGAGGTTGTATTCTGCTCTAGGCAGAGTTGTTCCCCTTTAGCCTGGTTCATTAGCAACTTGGCATCCCCTTCTCCGGATCCATGGAGATGGAGAAAGAAGACTCCCAAAGGGAAGAGTGAGGAAGGAAAGGGCCAAGGCCTCTGCCAGCACTTTTGCATATGTTATTGCTCTTCTTTCACACAAACTGTGTGTGTTTGTGTCCCCGTTTTGCATAGGAAGTGATTGCCTCAGAGAAGGTAAGGAGGCTGCTCTGCAGAGCTTGTAAACATTGGAACTGATTTTAAACCCAGGTATGTGGGACTCGAGAGACCATGTCCTCTCCAGTCCCCCAGGCTGACCTGTCAGCTTGGCCTTGGATTGGAGATAGTTCTTCTTTAAACCTGATCATTTCTGCCTGAGAGGGCTTGGCACAAAGAGCTGGATCCTAGACCAGCTTTCATGGCTCTGTTCCTGGGTTTCGTTGGAGGCTGAGTTTCCACATTCTTGCCATTAGCCAGCTCTGGGCCATGGCATCTGATGAGTTGAAGCTGTTGGATGCCTGGGCCCAGCTGGGTGGTGCTGGCTTTGAAGTTCACTTTCAATCCTTGCAGGTATGAGCATGGTGGGGGCCCTGCACCAAGTCCTATCACCTTCCTTCTGTCAGGCAACTGTCATCACTCCACAGAGCTTATTCACAGCCTGTTGTCAGGAAGCTGGCCAACTCCTTGGGAAGGTGAGAGAGGAAATTAGGAGGCTGGGGGCTGGGAGGAATCATGCTATCGTTATGCTCTTACCTTAGGGCTGATGGAAATAACACTGCTCTGGCACCTGGAGAGCTGGCTGGAGCCCAGGCTCTGCTGCACATCAGCAGCGTGGTCCTGGGTGAGTCCTGTAATGTCTTTGAACTGCTCTTCTCACCCGTGTAAGAAGGATAAATATTCTAGCTTGCCTACCTCCTGCATGGCACAGTTGTAAGGATCAACCTGAGTGACACATGGGAGAAAGCAGCTGGAGAAGCAGCCAGGGCATAATCCAGTGGTTCTCACACATCAGTGTACATTAGAACCACCTGAAGGGCTTGTTAAAACAAGAGTCCTGGGGCCACTCTCAGAGTTTCTAACTCAGTAGACCTGTGGTGGGGCCTGGGACTTGGCATTTCTAACAAGTTCCTTACTCATCCTCCAAGATCCTTTTCAAATTTTTTTTCCATGAAGCCTTTCTTTTGTAACGCAGGTCCGGCTGGTCTCGCCTCTGAACTTCGAAACTGGGCTGTCCCATGGTTTGTACTCCTGTGTAATGGCACCCATGATGAGCACAGTGGTGGCTGCCTGGAGTGCTCTCTTGGGCAGGATGCTGGAGCCACAACCTGGCTCAGGGCAGAGTGCTGGCACTTATTCACATAGGTGTGGACAGGGAGGTGGTGGTGTGCATAATAGATATTTGTCATCCCTGACTTAGAGACTCTACTGTATTTTCTGTGTGCTGGGCTTGCCTTTACAATTAAATTATACACTTCTTGATGACAGATGCAATGTCTTTTACTGCTGTCTCTTCTCTGGTACTTGGCTTAGGACAAATCACCCTGAGCTCTGAGTTCCCTGAGCATAGGGCCGTCTGTGTCCTGTTCATTTTGACTTCTGAAGACTAGCACAGTGCTGCCAGGCCATGGCAGTGGCTGCAAATATTCTTTGCTCAGTCAAATAATACTTTTCGAATACTGGAAGAATATTTCTCAAGTGTTTGTTCTGGTCATAAATCTGACAACTACAGACATGGAGCACTTTCAACTTAATCTACATTATTGACACGCTCTGCACTATTTCCTTAAACCCAGGCAATCAAGAAACCCGTAAGTCAAGCCTTGATTTGCAGTGTTTGTCAATTTTTGTGGTGAAGGTACTTCCGCCTTGTTAATTTCAAGCTCCCAGGGTGATACCACTGAATACAGAGCTGGGAAGAGGTGCACAGCAGCATCCTTCTCTACAGTTTTTCCACCATGCACATACAGTGGATGGAAATAAACTCAAAGCACAAGTGACTGTAAAGTTACTAGGAAGTGATAGGTTTTGAGTATTTATTACCTTTTACAAATACTATTGACTTGTTCATAAGTTTGCGTGATTTAATTATTAATAATGGCCATGTTTAACACCTGGTTTGTACAATTCCTGAAACTTTAACAACCGGTTCTCATGAAGTTCTCTTTGGCACAATACTAGGTGAATTGGTATAGATCTGTGGAAGTTAGAATTTTTTTGGTTGCAAGTCATAAAATCTTAACCTAAATTGCCAAGAGGGATTATTTTGCCTTACAAAATTTAAAGCATATAGAAGGGTAAGGTCAGTCTGGCATCAGGCCAGGTGTCATTAGGACCTATTCTCTCTTTCTGTCCTCTATGTGGTGTCAAGATGCTTGCCTACAGCTCAGGCCTTATTGTCCGAGGTTTCAGTCATCCAGAGGAGCAAGGACTTGGCCTCATTGGCTCTGATTATGTTCTGTGTTTGGCTCTGAACCAGGCACCGGAGTGGGGGAAGTGTGAGGCTCTCTGCCACAGTCCGATTTATCTCCCTTCACCATCAGTTTATATGTTGAAACTTTAACCTCTAGTATGATGGTATTTGGAGATAGGGGCCTTTGGGAGGTAGTTAAATTTAGATGTGGCCACGAGGATAGGGTCCTCATGATGAGATTAGTACCTTTATAAGAAGAGACCAGAGAGCTTCCTCTTTCTGCCATCTAAAGATGTAATGAGAAGGCAGCCATCTGCAAGCCAAGAGGAGAGGCCTCATGGGGAGCCAAACTGATTGGCATCTTGATCTTGGGCTTCCCAGCCTCCAGACTGTAAGAAATAAGTTCTCATTGCTTAAGCCACTCAATCTATGGTATTTTGTTACGGAACCCCAGACTGACTAAGACTCTCCTTCTCCAGGCTCGCCCTGACTGTTTCACCCAAGCATGTGGACTGAGAGTGGAGAGGGGTTTCCTCAGAGGAAATTCCAGGTATCGTTACTGGAAGGGTGGTCGGAAGCAGACAGCAAAGCAAACATCCATTGTAAGCTATCTCTCTCTCTGGACAGAAGGAATAGTTTCTTGGCTCAGAGGGTGCAGGTATCAGGGTAGCCTTTCTGGAAAAATGATTGGATCACTCCTTTTGTGTACAAGTGGGAAAAATGGGAAAGAAAGAATGGAAATCTGAGGGGGAGCCACAGTCCAAGCAGCTCCATGATTTGTGGAGCTTAGGGCAGGCCACTGGAGAATGTGCCACTTTGGCATGTGGATTATTTCAAACTGGACAATCAAGGCCTGAAAGACTCAGGAAGAGCTGTTTACCTCTCCCTTAAATGCCTAAAAGAATTTAGTTGGGGGGGTCTGGTCCCAGAGAGGGTTATCACCAGAGATAACCACGAAGAGTCCGGGCAATGTGTGGTACGCTAGGAAGAGTTTGGAGAGGCCTGTTTGTTAGGATTCCTCTCTCTGTTCCATTGTCTGTGCATGGCAAAATAAACTTTTTTTTTTTTTATTTTTTTAACCAAACATTTGCTCTTCCCATCTTCCTGTGGATTGTCTTCCTTCCCTTCGAAGCCCAAGATCCCTTCCTCCTTCTTAGCTCAGGATGACATACAAACCTCAATTTTTTGACTGTCTTTTAGCCTCATAACTTCAGGGTTTCCTGTATGTAGAAAATTAAATTTATTCATTTTTCTCCTGTTAATCTGTCTTATCTCAATTTAATCATTAGACCAGCCAAAGAACCTAGAAGGGAAAAAAAGGGAAAGTGTTCCTCTCCCACACCTCCCACCAGGGGAGCATGGCAAGATGTTTGTGGCACAAAGGACTACTGAGAATCTTGTTCCATGAGTCTCAGGGTTCAAACTTTAGCTACTTGGGTGAGAAGACTGTGCCCAGCAATGGAAGCTCTAAAAAGAAGTATCTTCACTGGGGAAGTATCTTGCTGATACTAGGAGCATCTTGCTGGGGGTTTGGTGTGAATTCTGAACTGACCAGCCATCACAACACGCCTAAAGACCTATCACTATTAGACCAAAAGAAGGCCCTTAAATTTGGGATGTGAAGTTATATAGGTGCCCAGAAAAATGAGGGCAATGTGAAGGTCACAGCTGATATCTCCAC